TTTTTTTTTTTTTTTTTTTTTTTTTTTTTTTGAGGTTTGATATCCCAAGTTCCATTACGGAACACCAACTCTTTGCAGCGTTCCAAAGAGTATTTTTGGCAGGTATTTATCTGTAGGTTGTTGACTTGACCCAGGGTTTTATGCTACTTTGAGTTTTTATTTTTAATCAGTAAAAGGCTGCTCTGATACCAAGGTGGGAATAAGAATTGTAATAAGTTGCTTGCAACCAAGTCATTTTTAACTTATGATTTCTGATTACATAATGCTATCATTTAACAATAAAATATTGTGGTAGACAATTAGACATGAATTGAAGAATTGTTATCAAGAAATTCATTTGATGTAATACAACCCAAAATTTACAGCAGAATCTTTGCCAAAAAGCTTCTGACTTCACATTCCTTTCATGATGGTTCTTAATCTGTAGACCTTTGTCTCCTAGTAAATCCTCTCTTTACATAAACATAGGTTATTTACACATTCATTAATTTTAATATCCAAAAGGGTGCTTTACAATGCTTGGGAAAGTTTTTATAAGATATGTAGGCAGTACTGTTAACCAGTAGCATATTATATAAAACCTGTGCAATTTTGGACACTCTTCAAGAAGCTCACTGACTCCTCTTGCAAAAGTGCAATTCCTGAAATTCTTGAAAAGCTTGACTTGCATTTGTCATGCAAATAACAAGGCTAGGAATTACTCTCTGACCCTTACTTTTCACACTTTATTTTCCTGAGGAAATATAGTTGACAATAAACATGGTCAACATCAAGATCCAAAGATCCAGTTCATTTCCGTGTCCTACTTCTATTGCAGAATTGAGAAGCTATTGAAAACCAAAGGTACTGTCAAATCCAAGAGTCTGGAATCCCCCACCCACCAAATTAAAATAATTACTGCATAGTTCTAGAGTATTGTTTTTCCATAATCTTCAAGAAGTGCAAATTGAAGTAGGCATATATAATATTTCTTGCAATTAGACTACCTTTAACCTTTTATTTCTTCAAGATTATTACTTTATAAATGTGTTTTCAGAATACTTTTTGCTTCTCTGAAGCATAGTATATCATCTATTGATAAATGGTTTTGTTTTAAAGTCATTCTTTGTTTACTGTTATGCCTTTTCCAACTCACTGTAAACTCTAAAAGTGAGGATGGAGTCATATATTTTGTTCCCCAATATATAGTACAGAATCTAATACTGTATAAAATAAAACAGACAGATACAATGATAAGGAAAATAATAATGAAAGCAATAATTTATTGAGTGGTAGCTATGTAATGTTATTTATATACATTATCACAGTTGATTTTTTTATAATCCTACACTATAGGCAGATTCAAATTTATGCAAATTTATCTAAGGTAATAAAGCTATTTTGCCACACTTAGGTTAGCATGGAACCAATATCCACCTGACTCTGAAACCTGCACTGTTAACTATTTTGCTTAGTTTATATAGCCAGGCAACACATTTGTAATTTTTGAGGGTTAAAGGGAATTTATATTTGTTTAATACTGTTAAAGAATGTGGCAAATTTTGAATAAGCTCTTTAGGTTTATGCAATCTGTTTAATATTTATCTGAGTATAGGAACACTGGAGAGTTCAATTTTCTTATTGTATTAAAATATGATAGTGGCTTTGTGGTACTTTAACCATCAATACTAAATGCTGAGTTGCAAGTAATCTTGAAGAGAGGTTACACCATAATGAATTTATGATTACAGAAAACGTCTCATTGTTTATTTCAAATTGATATTCTTATGTGAAAAATAGAAGAGAATACTATTATAAAGTTTCAGTTATATAAAATGAATTCATTCTAGAACATGTTGTATTCTAGATTGTATTAACAATAATGTCTGTATACCTAAAAGTTTGTTGAAGATGAATCTCAGGATTAATGTTGTTACGACAATTTTTTAAAACAATAAGAGCCCTGGAACATGGACGGTATTGAATAGGATCATGCCACAGAAATGTAGCTGTCATTCCTAGGGCCTTGTATTACAAGCTATATTTCAAATGCAATGTTATTGTACAGATACAATGCATCTATACCACAGGAAACTATGCTGTTATAGGACAGGAATAAGGAAATTTTCTTCATATTGATATGAAAAGTTCTCTATTATAGTTTAAGGTGATAATAACAATGTACAGCAAGGTGTTTCAGCCAGATATTAAGAAAACTGGTTGAAGTTTCAGGGTAAATAAGCAGATGGATCAAGGGGAGACATGAAAATTCTTATGTTTTCTGGCTTGTTTTGTTTTGTTTGTGATTTGACCATGTGAAAGTTTGACCTTTCAAAAAAAAAAAGAATATTTTGAGATGTATAGAAGAAAGAGAATAACAAACATCTCTTTTAAATTTTAAAAGTTAAAAACGAAAAGATGGCTGGGCATGGTGGCACACGCCTGTAATCCCAGCGCTCAGGAGGCTGAGGCAGGAGGATCCCTGTGAGTTTGAGACCAGCCTGGGCTACATAGTGAGTTCCAGGTCAGTCTCAACTACATAGTGAGACCCTGTCTCAAACAACCAAAAAAAAAAAAAAAAAGATGATTAGAAGTAGTTCTAGAACATGCCCTGCAATTTGTTTGCTTATTCACTCCCTTTGTAAGAGAGAGACCTTGTGAAGTGTCCTTACTTGGCCTACTGTAACAAAATGCTGCAAACTGGGTGGGGAAAATAGCAGAAATTTATTTCTCATGGTTCTGGAGACTGGACTAA